GGCTCAAGCGGCTAGGGCACCAGCCACATACACCTGAGCTGGCAGGTTCAAATCCAGTCTGGGCCCGCCAAACAACAATGACGGCTGCAACCAAAAAACAGCCGGGTGTTGTGGCAGGCACCTGTAGTCCCACTACTTGGGAGGTGGAGGCAGGAGAATCGCTTGAGCCCAGGAGTTGGAGGTTGCTATGAGCTGTGATGCCATGGCACTTTACCCAGGGTGACAGCTTGAGACTCTGTCTCAAAAAAACCAAAAAAACCCACTTTCCCACAAAAGCATTTTTTGCCATACTAAGGAGTCTGGAAGTGGTTCTGTGGGCTTTGCCAAGATGGGGCCAGTGAAAATGGGATGGAAGCTCTTGGCAGAAGTGAGAAGCCTTCCACCCTGTGGTCTCACCATAGACCGGAAGCATTTTCTTCCTAAGAAGTCAAATCAAGCTTGCTGGTAGAAGAGAAGTTTCTCACAGTGTAGGGAGACTCTTGCAAAGGCTGTATTTGTGGCACTAACAATCAAAGTGTTTCTTCACTTTGGTACGTTCAGTTTGTTAGTTTGTTTAGTTTCCACACACAGCACCGAACACATTAGTACCCTGGGTCTGTTAGGGTGTTCTGGGTGCTCACACCTCGGTCAGTGTTGGCTGAGGAGCCACAGGACTGGGAGGAGGGGTAGGTAGGGGCTATGGTGGACAAAGAACAGAGAGCTGCGAATGTGTTTGCTTCTTCTCTTGGTGGGCAGTGTACCGTTGATAGCCAGAAAGATGGGTGATTTGATGGGCCTTGCCAGTGTGTCAGTGAATCCTGATAGGGCTGCAGGCACATCTCAAACTCAAAAAGGTATCCCATCAGTTGACAGTGGGTATGTATTGGCTCTTCTCTCTGGGGCTTGGGAAAATACCCTGGATCAACTTCCAGGGAGAAATGAATGAGCAGAAGAGGGACATGTCTTGGCAAAAGCCAACTTGACTTCTCTGGCCGCATACCTAGGGACAGAGGGTAGCCTAGCTTGCTGCCTTGGCTACTTCGTGGTGATCAAGAAGAGCTGGGGATTTAAAACACAATTCTCTGCTTTTCAACCACTTTTCTGTACTGTCCCAGCATACCAGGTTCTGGATGTGAAAACAAAATGTGTTTGGTGCTCCTCGGTGTATTATGGGTAACCTAAGCTTATGGCCACCTGTCCTCCCTAGGTTATCCTGTGTACAAACCCCAGCCAGATTCAAGACAGCAAAATGGAGCTCCCACTTTCCAATTTTTAGCCCACCAAAGACATCTTGGACTTCTCAGTGTCGTATCTGTTGGCTAAAGGACTCTTATTCATTCATTCATTAAGATACATACTAATATTCTAAGTACTGGGGATGATATGGTGTACCAGGCAGACTCGAGCTGCAGCCCACATTCTAGTGGTTCATGTGGTTACTATATGCCTTCCCCTTCCTGACTGAGTGATGTTGCCAGGAGTCAGCTGCACCTGTCCCTGTTATATCAATCACAGCTGAAACAGTGTGAGCCAGAGGTTTGGTATGGAAAACAACTCCCTCAGGGAGCCTTCCTTTCCTGTTGGGCTTAGGAAGAAATCTCACAGTAATTCTTTCTATTTATTGGAGTGAGATTTTCTTTCTGGCTTGTTTGTTTTATACTTTTAGTCAGGAGTTTACAATACATGTTGCAGACTGTTCCCCTCCATAGAGGAGGGGCGGGCTGAAGATGAATCTGCCCATTTCCCAGACAGGAAGACTGATAACAGAAGTGGGTAGCAGATATTCTGAAGAATGGATGGATATTAGATTTGTACTGCCCTCTTTCTTTTTTTCATGCATACCTCCTATTCTCCCCCAAATAAGTAGCCCTTTCTGCTTTAATCTTTTAATTCAGTTTGAATATGTATCGCAACATTTGGTATTTGCCAACTGCATCCCCTTGATCCTGAAGTTCTTCAATCAAAATATCTTGTCATACATCACTGCCAAAAACAGGTATGCACTCTGGAGAGATTTATCTCAAGGGGCTATTTGGGGGGGGAGGGGAGGCAGTGAGAAGATTACATTATCTCTGAGCCTTTCAGTTCTCCTGGGGTCCCAAGTCCCTCCTGTCTTAGAGCTGTCATTCTTAAATTCAATTTCCTTGATGTGTTAGCTGATGGGGTATATGGCTTGGCCTCTTCACAGAGGTATTTGTATTTTAATAGTTTTAAAAAATGGAAAAATGTCATAACTTAAAGAAATGGAACTGCAATGATGAAATTTAGGCTGTGGCAGAGGATCCAGGAGATGCTTTTTGTGAAATAGCGTGCTTTTCTGGCCAGCCCTGATCTTAGTATAGATTATAACTGGGAGTGATTATAGTGCTTGGTAAATTGTAATGTGTTACACAAAACTTTTAACTGGAGGTACATAATAAACCCTTACTTGGTAGATCAATTTGTAGTTCAAAAATATAAGGTATGTTCTCATTCATTCATCCTTTTTTTTTTTTAATTTGTTTTAGACTCAGTCTCACTCTTTCACCCCGGCTGGGATACAGTGGTACAATCATAGGTCACTGTAGCCTAGAACACATGTGTTCTCCTGGGGTCCCAAGTCCCTCCTGTCTTAGAGCTGTCACTCTTAAATTCAATTTCCTCTCACCTGAGCCTCCCAAGTAGCTGGGACTGTAGATACATGTCACCACACCCGTTAATTTTTCTTTTAAATTTTTTTGGAGTGGCTCGTACCTGTAATCCTAGCATTTGGGGAGGCTGAGGCAGGAGGGTCACTGGAGCTCAGGTGTTTGAAACCAACCTGAGTAAGAATGAGACCCCATCTCTAAAAAAAATTGTTTTTTGTAGAGACAGGGTCTCCCTATATTGCCCACCTTTGTCTGGAACTCCTGGCCTCAAGTGATCCTCCCACTCCCACTTGGCCTCCCAAAACACTGAGATAAATGTGAACCACCAAACCTGGCCTCATTATTTCTTTTAATCTCCTCAGCAGTGCTAAGAGTTACTACAAGTTTTATTCTCATTTTATAAAAAATTAGGAAACAAATTCAGAGGCTAATAGATTTGCTCAAAGATAACATGCTAGTGAGACCTTAAGTAAGTGTAGAGGCAGGATCAGAACACAAGCTTCTCTGTGAACTCGGTTGTTCTCTATTCACTCACGAAGCAGGATATAGAATATTGAAGAGCAGATCCTTGTTCCTTAGTTTGCTACTTTCCCGAGAACTGGGAATAGGTTGCTCAGTAGAGACAAAGCTCATAAAGTATAAACAAGAGAGCTGATCTCATAGTTGGGGTGCCTGGAGAGGGCAGAGCTGGGAGCTGTTGCTGTACCGGTCTGTCCCTACTGCCTGAAATTCCACCATGGAGAGGCAGCCTACTTATCTGTAGTTTAAAACA